GCAGGAATTGTACAGTTCCCAAAGCAGTGACTCCACCTACTCCCTTACACTCTTGATTTATTTCAACAGGTTTATGAAAATTTCAGCACCTAGCTATCCTAAAAATCAATCTGAAAAAACAATAAAACCATCAAGAAACTATGAAATCAGAACAGACAATTTCTTTAATGATGTCTTATCTATCAGAAAACTCTCCAAAAATTGTAATACTTGGCCACTCAAACTCCAGTCATATCTTCTCTTGCCACGTTTTACAGTATGCTCTAAATGACAGAAATAAAAATTATGGACAGTTTGGTGGAGGAAAGAGAAACTACGGCAATCCTCAGAAAAATAAAATAAAATAAAACAAAACAGTTCCCTCTCCTATCCATTATATCCGGCACAGGTGCATGTATTGACAAAAGCTTACAGCCATAAGGACTGAAGCAGAAGTATCTCTGACAGGTAGCTTTTATAAATTTTAGGACTTCACTGGCCAAATAAAGCACATCAAACTCAACCCACAGTGGCAGCTAGCAAATACAGACTATACAATATAACTACTGCTCATGCAAGAAAAGATACTACATGTATTTCACAAGAGAATGCTCACAAGGCTGAAAAGCTTCCTGGCAGTTCTGTTCTCTGGGATCTGAAAAAAGAGGATCATTCAAGGCTAGCCCTTCTCTCACCAACAAGTACAAGCATGCAAATACAACACACTGAACACAGAGGATATTGATGGACCAACAACATGATTAACTTCCAATCTTTTTCCAGTTTGTGGGAGGAAGCAAAATACCCAGCCAATGCCACAAGTGCAACTTCTGTGCCAAACCAAGGTCAGAATGCTGACACAATTTAAAGGCGTCAGCAGCATCACAACATCATGGGATTCCATTTACCACTACATTTTTCACAGTGTTAATCAGGAATAGAAAAGCCAGACATTGGTCGATAAGTCAGAACTTCAGTCATTAAGTGGTGGCTTTCTGGGCAAAGATGCTGCCTAAAACAATTAGAGTCATTCTCTCATCAGCAGTCACAGCTGGTATCTACCAAACAGACTTTATCTGTCAGCAAAGACAAGAATCCAAAATGGTTTCAAAGCTTTTTAAAGGTAACTGTCGGTCATTAGATCATGTACTCTGACCTCTTATGTTATATAGGCCATAGAAGTTAACTCCTCTATTGAAATCCAAAAATCCCTGTTTAATAACTACTTAAAAAAAATTCTAAAACTGAGTCACAATTTAAAGACTTCCAAACATCTCGTCCCTTGGTAGTTTTTTTTCTAGTAGTTTATCACTTTGTACCTTCAACACATTCATCTTCTTGCTAATTTACTTATCATAACTTCTAATCCTGGATTCTTTCTCAGTTAAAGCACTGAATACGTGCTGCACAACAAGCTCAAAGTGCACCAAAACTAGCTCTGCAACACCACTACAAGGTTTCAGACACAGATGCAATGACAAAAATGCAACATTTAACAAAGTGTGCATGACTAGTATTTAAAGCAACTACTTTTGCGCTCAACAGCATGTATCAGAGAATTTGATCAAGTCTTTTTTCTTCAAGTAACAGATAAAACTAAGAATATTTAAACTGTATTGCTTCAAATTCCTGATCCTGCAGCTCTTTGAAAGCCCTCATTAGTGAGTCTTTCCCCTTGTTTGCCAGTGTGCTACAACTTTGGTTTACGTGGTTTTGATACAGATTCTTTCCTTCAAGTCCAAGTTTCTTCTAATTGTGTACCTTATCCAACCCACCCTCCTACCCAGAGTGGATCAAATCTCTGATCTTTTATTTTATGGATCATGTAATTTAATGCACAATCTTTTGTGAGATCTCAGTTTTAGCTTAACATACAATAGTCTGATAAACACCCTTATTAAAAGTGGATACTGACCTTGAGGTGAAGCTGAAGGAAGCAGCAAATCCAGGAAGGAGATGCGAAAGAGAAAGAGTTAGAGTTTGTGAAAACAGTGCCCAGAGATAACAGAGTTCAAGAATACAGGACAAAACAAGCAGATCTAAATTAGGTAATGACACACAGACACGTAACTTTTCACAAACACAGAGCTGCACGTTTTACAGACATCTGATAAAAAAAATTTAAATTAGATTACACCATTTCACTTAGATGCAACTTTCTGTACATAAAATAATCCCTAATACGTAACAGTTCTTGAAAAAGGGGAATCAATCAACTTTAGAAAAGTTTAGATTTATATCACAACACTAGCAGGCAACCTTCTTCAAGAAGCCTAAGTAAGTTTTTGAAAATGTGGAGGTTGATTAGCTGAGATGAAACAAGAATCCTGAGGTGTTCCTTTATGCCATCTTCTTATAGGGACTTACTTTTCTCTCCATGAGTAAGAAAGACATTTTATCACTTACATTGTTGATGACCTAGACTTGTCAGAGGTGAATAGAAGGAAAAAAAACAAACACGGAGTAAGACTTTGAGTCTTAGTTTATCTTGTCAAAGTTAAAGTTCATCCTTCTTAGTTTTGACATTGAAGTAATCTTTCCAAAAGATTACCACAACCAACCAAAAAAAAAGCATCTGCCCCTTCTGCCTATGTTGTTGCTATCTTAATTCTCCCATAGAAGGTGCAATCTAAAATCAATAATGACCAAACAGGCATATGTGACAGTTCTCTCCAACATCGTTCAACAGCACGATTGACTAAGACAAAATGCTGGAGTTCCCTGTATAACATGAGGTCCCGTAGGTTCATTATTGCTTTTTTCATTTATCTCCAATATCTTTTCATAGGCATCTGCTGTCAATTTCACTGATAACAGCAATATAAGTCAACCAAGAGTCATAAATAGTGATTTTTTCATTTGATTTTAAACTCTATTCTTTTTCAGCAAACAGGAGATAGGAAAAGTGAACGTCCTGTTCCTGCCAAAAATGTCAATTTGGCTTCTACATTGTAAGTTTACATTTCCCATGGCAAGATTTCACTACATAAAGGCCTACAGGAAGAATATGGTCTGGAGAGAAATATTTCTATAGAATAGCCCAGCTACTATACAGTTTATTACTTTTTGCATAAGTAACTGTATAAACAAAATTTAACGTTCTTATTTCTGGCATATATTTTATGAACAGCAGTGTCAGTATATCAAATTTGTACAAGCAGCATTTTTAAAGTGAGGTACAGCTGAGAAGTGTACTGTTGGTATAAAAAAGATAAACCAGTCTAAAGACAATTTTCTTTGTCTTTTGAGCTAATATTCTTCCAATCTAGTTCTTAAGGAATAGTTGTTGTAGAAGCTGTACTAATTGGCGATTTCAGGAAAGATGAGACTTGCAAAAGCCAAAGTTACCACACGCTCACTGTACGATTAAGTCATAATGTTCCAAAAGCTTCAATTAATTCATATGGAAAACTGTGCAACTGTAACAACCCTGACTGAAATCCAAGCATACTTTCCTGAAGTGAACTGTGGAACTACAACTGGTCAAATAAGCTTAGCAAAAGAAGAAAAAAAAGGGAGAAGAATTGCTTGGCTAGATAAGGGACTAAATAAGGTAGGAAAAAAAGGATCTTGGTCTTTTTTATTGAATTCAGATTACGCAGGTTTAGAACTCGCATTTTGTGTTTCAGAGACCCTTAGTAGTTACTGTTTCCATTGTGATGAAATTATGGCATTGTTTCCTTCATTATAACAGCGGAAAAAAGGTTCAGTATAGAATTCAGGATGGCCATGTAGAATTTCAATGACCCAGTCTCTTCTTTCAACTGGCACTGAAGGTAGCCTCTTTCGCTAGCACAAGATCAAGGTAAAACAGTATCTGAAAAGCTATGCTGAGGTCACTCGCAATTTTCTCTATAGTACAGAAATGTTATTTAGCCAGCTGCACAAGCTTTGTACGGAGAATAATTATTGCTGCATCTTCATTCTGTTACAGACTAAATTCTTCCTTATTAAAAAAAAAAGCAATTGCTAACTGCTTTTTCATGTTTTTTATAAGGGTTTGAAATATTAAAAAAATATGAACTAGGATTTTAGGATAATATTAACACGTATCCAAAGAGAAATGAAGAACACGTCAGTTTTCTTGGCAAGTACGTTATAATTAAAAGAAAATCTGGAAATGTGCTGCTGCTTAAAAACTAAAAATGTGCCAGACATCCAGAATTGCCATCTATTAGGAGAGGAAATGCCGATCTGCTCTGGATTTGGGGGTGAGATCTCAGGACGGGGAGGCTACATCAGTGAAATTGAGCAGAGGAGCACAACAAGCATTTGCCCCAGAAAGCAGGCCCAAGCAAGCAGCGTCAGACACACAAGGAGCCAGGGTCATTATAGAGCAAAGGACTCATTTTCGCTTTGCGCTGTTTCCCTTCGAGTAAGCGCGCCCACTCGCAGCCCTCCCGACAAGATCCAGCCGCAGCTCTTCTGCCCAGCCCCATTAATTGTGTACTCTGATGCAACAGTGCCACAGGGGGACAATACAGTTGTAACATCAAAAGGTCGTCTCGGAGAAATCCGTTCGCTTTATAAATCCTATCTCGTTTACTTTAAAGATACGGCCAATTTACATCTGATTCCTGGGGGTAGCTCAAAAAATTTGGATGTGTACACGTCAGTATCTCAAATAATAAAAAAGCTTATGGAAGGCTTCCTAGTCAACCTCTGAATTCCACCTGCCGGACAGGGTGCGATTGTGTATATTTAATATGGCTTCACAGTTCCCTCAAAGTTGTCGTACAGGGAAGAATACACATTTGTTCTTCCTTATGTCAATCTTGAAAGGCTATTTATGTTTATCACTTTTGACAGCTTTTATTGGTGAAAAGAAAGATGGCTGGTCTTTTCCTTTCATCTTAGCAGATTCTAAAAGGGATGGGGGGAAAGAGACAGAGACAGAGGATGCATGTGCGCCTGCCTGCACACAGGCACGCACGTATCTAAGAGCACAAACATGACTACTGGTGGTCAGGGAACACTTTGTCACTTGCATACTGGCTCCTACAGGATTTTCCTTCTTGTTCTTACTGTACTCCACAGACTACAGAGAGGTCTGTCACTTTTATTTTTACTGTATCAGTAGTGCAAAAAGGGATTTTTTTTTTTTTACTAGTTTGTGAATAAAGGATACACTGATATAGCTTGCAGATGTTGACTAAACAAAGTTACAAGAAAGCTTTTGATGTGATGTATTCAAGGCAGATAACAATGAAACTGATATGCAAACAACCAGGCTGCATTATTTATCTAATTTCTTTCTAATTTTATAATTATCTTAATTACATCACAGGACTGATATTCTAGTGATCTAGCAGTTGTATTGCACGATATTTGCTAAGTAAAACCCATCACTATTACAATGCAGACAGAGTTTAAACCATCAGATGACAACTCCTATATTCACTATGGATAATAGACTTAGGCCTGCAAGACATAGCTGATAACCACCTTGACTTAATGGTAAAAACAAACAGAATTTTTCCTACCAAATTTCCTGTAGCATTAAAGAAGCCTTTATAAAAGCACACAATCAATGCTTCTCTCTGCTCATAAGTATTTCTCTCATGCAAGATGCTTCTTGGAGGATCCAGGATCAGGTCCTCAGTCTGCAGAAATGCAGATCAACAATTGCTTTCAGCCCATTGCTGAATTTAACAAAGGAGATAGTCTGTACCCAGTTCATTAGAGATGAATGGCTCCGTTCAAAAGTGTCAGTCCTGCCTCATCGAGCATGGAAATAATCTCGGAGCAAGTACTTCGCCTTAGGTTCAATGATGGCGTATCACATCGAGTGCTTTCAGCCAGTGTCTGCAGCAGCCCAGACCTCTCGATATGTGAAGGGTTGGACTAATCAGGGTTCTCTGACTTTAATTTTTTAAATAGTTGTTTTTGCAGTAACACAGCATTTTAGTTGCCCTGATAACACAGGAAAATGGAGAGAATGGGAAATAAAGAACAGTTAAAGGCAAAAATGGAAAAAGGATATCCTTTGATAATAAAAAGGTGAGGATGGATTGAGAAGTCGCCATAAAACCACTGTGATAGCTTTTAATCCGGCACTCTTTACAAATGGATTTGTAATTACTGGCAATCTCACTCTCTCTTTTTTCTTTTTTTAAGATGCTTCAAAAGTGTTCAGTGAGTTTAGGTGTTGATCATAAGACACCTTAACAAAGGTTAACTTTCATAAGGCAAACCTCTGCCTTCTGAAAATCAGAATACTTTCAAATGTCTAAAGTTAAATATCTGTGAGTAAAGAGGCCCAAGAAACAACAGTCTTTTTCTAAATATATGCCTTATACTCTTGGCTGTTTAGAGCAGCTATGTTGATATAAAATATATTACTTTTTCCTCTGTGAAACTTCAGGCGGGACTTCAGACCTAATGTTCATTTTGTATGAAGGTAAAGCAAGATCAAAAAGAAAGAAACGACTTCTTTCTTACCTACCTTCTTACCTACCATTTCCTACCTTGGAAATGATGAAAATCTTAATATATAATAGATTTGTAAGCTCAGAGACGGAGCTGGAAGTACTAAATACAGGTCTGACCACGTATTTGCATCAAGACCTTGTTCTCAGTTGCTTGTCATTCTGCCTAATATTAACAAATTGTGCTCAAATTTTCTGTGACAGGTGTCAGTTTCAGCCTGTTTTTGGGAAGGGACAATTTCTGCTACATTCTTCAGACAAAAAGGCAATTTTCTTGTGGAAAAAAAAACTGTCATATGGTTACAGACACTGCATGCTGAGATGAAAGGTGAATTAATATTACATGGCGGTCTTAATTTTGGAATGTCCTAAGTTTTGTGATCAACTTTAGAATCTTAACATTCACTTAATCTAGTGATTTTTGAGGGGAAGGGGATGGGAATCTTTGTACTTTGAAGGATGGAGGAGAAAAAAAGAGGGAGAAAATGTGAGAAAAGGA